CCTCAGCATGGTCGTCCTCCCCGTGGCCTGCCTCGCCGTGGCCTTCCTCGACGTGGCCTACCTCACCGCGGCCATCCTCACCCTCACCGCGGCCTTCCTCGCCATGACCTTCCCCGCCATCACCTTCTTCACCGTGGCCGCCTTCTCCATGGCCTTTCTCGCCATGGCCATCCTCACCACGGCCTTTGTCACCACGGCCTTCCTCACCATGGCGTACCTCACCATGGCCATCCTCGCCCTCAACATGATCTTCCTCCCTGTGGTCCGCCTCACTGTGGCCTTCCTCACCATGACCCTCCTCACCATGGCCACCCTTGCCATGGCGTTCCTCACCATGGCCATCATCACCATGGCCTTCCTCACTCTTGGGCCTTCCTCATCGCAGCTATCCTCACCATGGTCAACCTCACCCCAGTCTTCTTCGCCATGGCCTTCCTCGCCATGGCCTACCTCACTGTCGCTATCCTCACCCTCAACACGGCCTTCCTCGCCATGACCTTCCCCGCCATCACCTTCTTCACCGTGGCCGCCTTCTCCATGGCCTTTCTCGCCATGGCCATCCTCACCACGGCCTTTGTCACCATGGCCTTCCTCACCATGGCGTACCTCACCATGGCCATCCTCGCCCTCACCACGGTCTTCCTCCCTGTGGTCTGCCTCGCCATGGCCTTCCTCACCATGACCTTCCCCGCCATCACCTTCTTCACCGTGGCTGCCTTCTCCATGGCCTTCCTCGCCGTGGCCATCCTCACCACGGCCTTTGTCGCCATGGCCAGTTATCCTCACCGTGGCCAACCTCACCCCAGCCTTCTTCGCCATGGCCTTCCTTGCCATGATGATCCCCGCAATGACGATCCTCACAATGACGATCCTCGCCATGGCCTTCCTCACCATGACGATCCTTGCCTTGATGACCCTCGCCATGGTCTGCATCACTGTGGCCCGTGCACCTTCTCCCCCCACGGGCTCTGCAGACGCTCTCCTTCCACCAAACGGGGCTGAGACCCACCGTTGTCCCTGCGGGGACCTGCCCTTGGGGCTGGAGATGGGTCACGGCCAAGGGGGGTGAGGAGCTGGTGGAAGAGGTTCAATGTCCAGTTAATCTGCGCGGAGAGAGGGCCTCAGTCCCGTTTATTTACTGATTAGCAGCACGCAGGGGTTACGTCAGTGGGGCTTTGCTCCCTCCTGCCCCCTGCGTAGGTGACCATCCCCTCCCACCCCGGCCACCGCTCTGGAGGACAGTTCTTGCTCCTAAAGCCGGACCGCGGACGCTGCTGGCCTGTGGCAGAGCCGAGCGAAGAGCACCGGCATAGGGAAGAGCTTCAATTGCTCCGCGCCTGCAGTCAGGCTCGACCCCTTTATTTCTTTATTTCTTTATTTCTTTATTTCTTTATTTCCCCTCACTACAAGAAGGATGTTGAGATGTTGGAACGTGTCCAGAGAAGGGCAACGAGGCTGGTGAGGGGTCTGGAGAACAAGTCTGATGAGGAGCGGCTGAGGGAGCTGGGGTTGTTTAGCCTGGAGAAAAGGAGGCTGAGGGGAGACCTCATGGCTCTCTACAACTACCTGAAAGGAGGTTGTAGCAAGGTGGGGGTCGGTCTCTTCTCCCAAGTAACAGG